CACGGCCACCACAGTCTCGACCTGCTGGGCTCGAGAGACCCTTCCACCACAGCCTTCCAAGAAGCTGGAACTACAGGCATGTGCTACCCTGCTCAGCTCATTTTTTCTTGATTGATTGTAGAGATGAGATCTCACCAAGTTGCCCAGGCTGGTCTCGAACCCGTGGGCTCAGGCAATCCTCTTACCTCGGCCTCCCAAAATGCTGGGATTATAGGCATGAGCCACTGTGCCTGGCCCCCCCCAAAATTAAGAACATTGCAATATACTTCTATTCCCTCTTCCTGTGCTTTGTATTATGTCACAATGCATTTCTCTTCTTAGTACATTAAAAACATAAAGCATTGCTATTATTTTTGCTTAGTCAATATGTTTTAAGAAGAATTTTAAAATGAAAAAAAAAATACTTCTTACAGCTACCATTTCGACTACTGCTCATTTATTTGTATAGATTCAGGTTTCCATCTGGCATCATTTTCCTCCCATTTCAAGAACTTCCCTGAATGCTTTTTGTAGTTCTGATCTACTAGCAGTAAATTATCTCAGCTTTTATTTGTCTGAGAGTCTTTGTTTTCGGTTATGAAACATATAATCTTATGAACATATGAAATATATTCAGCTATGTAAGAATATTTCAGTGCATAGTTTTAATTTGAGTTTTTTTTCTTTTGGCACTTTAATGATGTAATTTCTTGTCCTCTTGTTTCATTGTTTCTACTGGCTTTCCTGTCATCATTCTTATCTTTGTTTCACTCTGACATCTTATTCTGTTTCAAGCTGCTTTTAAGATTTTCGCTTCTTTTTTTTTTTTAAGAAATTTTATTATCATATATCTTATTTCAGTTCTTTTCTGTTTATCCTGCTTGGGATTTATTGAGTTTCTTAGAACTGGAGATTTAAAGTTTTCATCAAATTAGGAAAATTTTAGGCCAGGATTTTTCAAATATTTTTATGTCCCCCCATTCAATCTTCTTCTGGGACTTTAGTTGCACTTATTTTAGAATGCTTGGTATTATTCCACAGGTCACTGGTGTTCTGTCTTCTTTTTTCATCATTTTCTTCTCTCTGTACTTTTTATTTTTTGATAGTTTCTGTTGCTATTTCTTCAAGTTCATTGATCTTTCCTTCTGCAGTGTCTAAGTTGCTATTAATCTTTTCAGGAGAATTTTTCATTTTAGATATGGTATTTTTAATTTCTAGCAGTTACACTTTTTATTTTTAAATCTCTTTTGTTTCTCTACTTATCAGGTTCACTTTTTGAAAAATAACACAGTTTTAATGTCCTTGACTGCAGATGCCATTATCTTTGTTATTGACTGATCTTCGCCTAGGCTAGAAGGTAGTGGCAGCCACCGCAGCCTTGAGCTAGAAGGTAGTGGCAGCCACCGCAGCCTTGACCTGCTGGGCTTAGGCGATCCTTCTGCTTCAGCCTTCCAAGTATCTGGAACTATAGGCGCACACCACCATGCCCAGCTAATTTTTTGATTTACTGTAGAGACGAGGTCTCACCAAGTTGCCCAGGCTGGTCTTGAACCCCTGGGCTCAGGCAAAACTCTCACCTTGGCCTCCCAAAGTGTGGGATTACAGGCTGAGTCACTGCGCCCGGCTGACTGATCTGTTTTATTTACTAGTTTTTCTCCTGGTTATGGATGTGGAGTTGTGGGTTCAGTATAATACTTTTCAGATTTGTCTTAAAGCTTCGTGATGGTAGGCCTGGAGAAGTCTTCTCCAGGAGCAGCTCAATCCCACTGTCAAAGAATGGTCTTTTTGGGATCTCTATGATGTGCCCCATCCAAAACTTGGATATCCTCTAGTAGTTCTTTACAGGCCCTTGAGGATTTCACCCTATCCATATACATCCAGGATCCATATACATCCAATATTCAGCAACGATTCAAGGCGACCTCTATGTAAACTTCTGGAATGCCTTTTCTTCATAAGTGCATCTCCTCCAGAATTCTTCCTGGCAACTCCTCACTGTCTTCTCAGCTCAGTGAGGCCACTCTGCTTCACCTGTGCTCTTCCTCCCTGCTCTGCAGACTAGAATGTGTCTTCAGGCAGAAAACCAGGCTGATTGTCCGGCACATCTCATTTGTTTTTTTTTCTCAGGGACTAGAATTCTGTGCTGCCCAATATGTAATGTCTGAAAATAGTTGTTTCATATATTTTCGTCTACTTGTCTAGTTGTTTACAGTGGGAGGAAAAATCGGATCCCTGCTTGTCCATAGTGGCTGAAAGTAGAAATATTCACTGAATTTTACATTTCAATTATTTTATTTTATTTCAAGAGGTTTTGTTTAGAATTTTTGAAAAATCTTAATGGTCAATTTATGTCTTCTTGTTCTCTGAAAATATTTTCAAATTTTCTTCTATTTTTAAAACATAGTAAACATAGCTCTGTTATAATCTTTGATAATGCTAATATTTGGAAGTCACTGTGGGTCTATTTTTACTGTGTTGTTTCTGATGGCTGTTGCTGATGGCGTCTTGTTTTTGTGTGCTTGGTTGTCTCTCTCTTATTTATTCATTTATTTTGGAGGACCCTATAGGAATTCTTAAAGACCTAGAATGAGGGTATATTTATCCAGATAGGATTTTTGCTTCTATCCAATCCATAGACACTAGAAAGACACTACTTGAAATTGTTCTTGACTTGAGCTTTTGTGACAACCAGGGTAAAAAAAAAAAAAATCAGGCTGCAAATTTAAGATATAGCTGGGGCCAGGCACAGTGTCTCAGCCTGTAATCCTAGCATTTTGGGAGGCCAGGGTGAGAGGATTGCCTGAGTCCAAGGATTCAAGACCAGCCTGGGCAACTTGGTGAGACCTCATCTCTACAATAAATCACACACAAAAAAACTAGCCAGGCATGGTGGCATGCATCTGTAGTTCTAGCTATTTGGAAGGCTAAGGTAGAAGGATCGCCTAAGCCCATCAAGTTAAGGCTGCAATGGCTGTGAGCGTGCCACTGCACTCTGGCCTGGGTGACAAGAGTGAGACTCCAACTCAAAAAAAAAACAAGATACGACTGGTTTGTAGTTATAGGGTGTCAGGAACTTTTCAAATTTCCTCTTGTTTTGTCTATTTCTGAAACAGCTTTTCTTACATTCCCTGTTATAAAGAAGGGCTGGGTGCAAGTTTCTGGTTCATTTTTATACTGAAGATGTAGCCCTTTGAAGTCTCAGATTTAAAAGAGAGAAGAGAAAACTTTTCTTTCTTGAGAGACTTGCCCATAGCAGGTCTTTCTGCCATGAAGCTTCCTGTCTCCTCCTCCTTTCAACAATAAACTCTGTTTTAAAACTTTAAAAAAAAAAAAAATAAAAAAAAAATAAAAGAGAGAAGAGTTGCTACTCCAATCTTTACTTTGTACAGACTCTGGTGCTTTATATATGGCCTCCTTGGCCCCCTTTTATATTTGAAATGCCATGAAATTGGAAACTGCAGATATGGTTTCTTGTATTTGGAATATACCTTCTGGACAAAGTGCCTTTGGAAGTCCCCTTTCTCTACTGCTTTTGTCTGTACTTTGATTTTTGCCTGATAATGCCTTATCATTTTGTCAACATTTTTATTTTTTAAGACGATTAAAAATATTTTCCCGGCTGGGCTCGGTGGCTCAGCCTGTAATCCTGCACTTTGGGAGGCCGAGGTGAGTGAATTGCCTGAGCCCACGGGTTCGAGACCCGTCTGGGCAACTTGGTGAGACCTCATCTCTACAATAAATTAAAAAAAAAAATTAGCCAGGCATGGTATCGTGCGCCTGTAGTTCCAGCTACTTGGAAGGCTGAGGCGGAAGGATCGCTGGAGCCCAGCAGGTCAAGGCTGCGGTGGCCAGGAGCGGCCACTGCACTCCAGTCTGGGCGACAGAGTGAGACTCCAACTAAAAAAAAAAAAATTTTTCCCAGCCTTTTAAGTTATTTCCAATGAGAAAATTGGTCCAAATATCTATATTACTAGAATAGCATATAGTATTTTGTTTTCTAAGGTGTGATAAAACTATCCTTATTTTACTTATCTTATCAATCAGTCTGGGCAAGACTCCACTGCAGTTCGTCTAGAGCAATGAGCTGAATTTTTAAGCATTTGTACGAGTTAGCTAAGTGAAGAATGATGGTGGGGTTGGGGTTGGTATTGGATGTGAGAGGGTAAGGTGGGCCCCAAAACTATAAGTAATTAAATGGGGCCAGAACATAGAATATGAAGAGATTCATGGGGAAAGATGAGACCAAAATGGTCAACAGGCTCACATCAAAAAGTCTAACAAGTAATTTCTCTTACATAGCACAATGCCATGGGAACATTATGCACATCGTTGTCTAAGTAAACTGTGCTCCCTAAAATTCTGTAATATGAAGCTTAAAAGATTGACTTTAACCCACTAGTCCCAGAAGGAAGGAAGGGAGATGTAGACAGTGAATAAGAGACCCCTTTGTTAGAGCAGAGACCACGGAGTCTCCAAGAAGCCTGTAGAAAAGCCTATTCTCTAGGCCAGGCTTGGTGATTCAGCCTGTAATCCTAGCACTTTGGGAAGCCGAGGCAAGTGGATTGCCTGAGCCCATGGGTTTGAGACCAGCCCAGGCAACGTGGCAAAACTTCATCTTTACAATAAATCAAAAATTAGCCGGGCGTGATAGCGCGTGCCTGTAGTTCCAGCTACTTGGAAGGCTGAGGTGGAAGGATCGCCAGAGCCCAGCAAGTCGACGCTGGGGTGGCCGTGAATGTGCCACTGCACTCCAGACTGGGTGGTGGAGTGAGACTCCAATAAAAAAAAAAAAAAGAAAATGCTTCTCCTGGGATCCCCCGTGGTCATCAACTCTCTAGACTCACACAAACTAAGTTATGGCCCTGAAGGTGGGTATCTTCTAGGGTTCACTCCAGGCTCTGTCTAACTCAGATCAGTAATGCCAGGCTAGTGACGTCCTTTCTCATCTGGAAAATAAAGGAAAAGGAGGCCATCTCCTAAGGGGTCAAGTGGTTCTATCTGATTCAACCCCTTATTCCAAGGAATTCTGAAACACTTTTAAAGCTGATAGCCATTGGAAAACTGCCTCCTGATGTCCGGCCCCCTGACAACCTGTTTGATGACCCGATTGCCATCTACAACACCTGGCTCAATGGCCCTCCCCAGCACATCAAGACCATGGTCCTCAGCAAGGTGACTGAATGCAACTTAGAGAGTCAGTTTTTGAAGGTTAGTAAAGGTAACTGAGGGGGGCCTAGAAAACCTTGGACACAACAGAAATTTTAACTTTTATTAGCACCAGAAAAAGTCCAGAAGCACCAGGATAACCTGCAGCCCCGGTGATACAAATAAATATAGCTTGCAGAATGCTCTTCCATGAATAATGCTAGATGGATCGGTTTCCATGTCAGAGGGTTAGCTTGGAGATCTGATTTTCTTAGTGACCTAAGGCTTTTAAGGAATTTTCCAGGAATGACAGAATGTACATTTATATGTATTTTTTGTTGCTGTTGTTGTTTAGTTCAATGACACTTTAACTTCTGTTCTCTCTCTCTTTGCAGATTAAGGAGGGCCCAAGCTTTGTATTCATGTGCTTTATTTATTTATTTTTTTTGAGTTGGAGTCTCACTCTGTTGCCCAGACTGGAGTGCAGTGGCCTTCCAAGTAGCTGGAACTATAGGCATGCGCTACCATGCCTAGTTATTTTTTGATTTATTGTAGAGATGAGGTCTTGCCAAGTTGCCCAGGTGGGTCTCAAACTCATGTACTTTATTATTATTATTATTATTATTTTTTTTTTTTGAGTTGGAGTCTCACTTTGTCGCCCAGACTGGAGTGCAGTGGCCGCTCCCGGCCACCACAGCCTCGCCTGCTGGGCTCCAGCTATCCTTCCGCCTCAGCCTTCCAAGTAGCCGGAATTATAGGCATGTGATACCATGCCTGGCTGATTTTTTGATTTATTGTAGAGATGAGGTCTCGCTGCCCAGGTGGGTCTTGAACCCGCGGGCTCAGGCAATCCACTCACCTCAGCCTCCCAAAGGCGTGGGATTACAGGCTGAGCCACCAAGCCCGGCTTCATGTGCTTTATTAAAACCATGTCATTTCTTCCTGGATCTGTCTTCTGGGTTAATGCCTTCTTCCTGCTGTTGTTGTTCCAAGGGATAAGCACTATGATAGGGCTCATGCAGAGTATTATTATTACTATTATTATTTTTGAATTGAAGTCTCACTCTGTTGCCCAGACTGTAGTGCAGTGGCCGCTCCCAGCCACCGCAACCTCGACCCGCTGGGTTCCGACGATCCTTCTGCCTCAGCCTTCCCAGTAGCCAGAATTACAGGCGCGCGCTACCACACCCAGCTAATTTTTTATTTATTGTAGAGATGAGGTCTCGCCAAGTTGCCCAGGCGGGTCCCGAATCCGCGGGTTCAGGCAATCCACTCACCTCAGCCTCCCAAAGCGCGAGATTACAGGCTGAGCCACCGAGCCCGGCTCATGCAAAGTATTATTACCCCACTCCAGGACACCTTCTCTTCCCTCAGGAAACATACAAAGCTGCTCACAGGTACTTTGACCTAACAATGACCCTGACTGCATTGGTACCCTTATCCAATCCCGGTCTATGGCCTTCTCTTAGCGCTTGTCACCCAGCCAGACCTCTGACCTTGATCGGATCCAATGTTTCCTCCAGTGGGCCTCTCTGTGCTCATGTTCCTGTGTGGCCTCTTCTTCACTCGACCTTCAGGCTTCTACTTCATCAGACTGCTGAATGAATACTGGACGGTCTTCCAGTATTCTTGATCTTCCCCATCATGATCATCATCATCCTTGAAAACATGTCTGTAGCCTGAGCCTATGGAGCCAAGAGGTGATGCCTTAGGACCGGATTCCCTCAGAATATGGGACTCTAGGGAAGGCTGACCCTTTTCCTATTGCCTCTGCTCTCACCTAACTACAGTGACAACTACAACCACAGTGAATAAGGGACCCTTAATTTCAAGGCCTTCTGAATATTTTTTTCCCATTTATTCATCTTCTGAATTTTTTTTCATTTGTTCATTTGACATATATTTTGAGTGCTTCACATGTGCCAGGTACTGCTTTAGTCACCAGGGATACCACACTGAATAAAACAGCGATCCCTGTTCTCAGAAAGTGTATATTCTAGTGGTGTAGAGAGACAATAAGCAAGTTAACACATAAAAATGATAAGTGATAGGAGGAAATCAAAGAATGGGGTAAGATGATCCATAGGAGGAGTGTGTGTGGATGCTAATTTAGACAGGATTGTAGGGAAGGCCTTTCTGATAAGGTGACATGTGAGCAGACTCCTAATTGAAATGAGGGAGGGAGCCAATGCAATATTTTGGGAAAGAGTATTCCAAGCATTACCAAGGAAATATCATACCTGGAGTTTGTGAGGAACAAGGAGTTCAGAGAGGCTGGAATAGAATGTAAGGAGAAGAGGTCAGAGAGGTAATGGGGGCCAAATCACGTAGGGCCTTGTTTTTTTTTTTTGAGTTGGAGTCCCACTCTGCCGCCCAGACTGGAGTGCAGTGGCCGCTCCCGGCCACTGCAGCCTCGGCCTGCTGGGCTCCGGCGATCCTTCCGCCTCAGCCTTCCGAGTAGCCGGAATTACAGGCATGCGCCACCACGCCCGGCTGATTTTTTGATTTATTGTAGAGATGAGGTCTCGCTGCCCAGGCGGGTCTCGAACCCGCGGGCTCAGGCAATTCACTCACCTCAGCCTCCCAAAGGCGCGGGATTACAGGCTGAGCCACCGAGCCCGGCTCGGGGCCTTGTAAGCCAGGGTAAGACTTTTTATTCTGCTTTTTATGCAGAATGAGAGATGAAGTACTGTGGGGTTTTGAGAAGGGGAGTGACATCAGATTTATTTTATTTTATTTTATTTTGTTGTTGAGTTGGAGTCTCACTCGGTTACCCAGACTGGAGTGCAGTGGCCGCTCCCGGCCACTGCAGCCTCGCCTGCTGGGCT